AAAAAAAAAAAAAAAAAAAAAAGAATTAAATGACACCTCAGCTGACTTCTTTTAACATTTTTTGTTATTAGTGTAAAGTAACTATTTCCATGCAATTATCATTTTTATTGGGCTATTGTTTATTCATAGTCATTGTTTTTACATCTCAGGGGTCTCTTTCCGTACATAAATATGAATAATCTTTAAAATATAGTACATATCTAGTGTACATACTTTCTTCTGAAGCTGTTTCCTATTCAGATTTGTCAAACCTTTATGGATAATTTCATCTTTAAGATTTGAAGTAAATCATTACTAGGCAATCTCCTTATTATTGAAATGTAAAAACTTTGATTTGCTTAAGCAGATAAAATAGATAGGAAAATAAAATTAACTTATTTGTGAATCCAATAGTTCTGAATGCAAAGAATATGTTCAAGGCACAATTAAGAAATCAAACATCCACTCCAAGTTGCCACTGAAGTTGCTCAGGCTCAACTTGGGTGGCAAAGGAAATCAAGCATCAGCATTTTAATCTTAAGTTTATTTATTTAGGAGGCATCTCTTTTATTCATTTTCCCCTTATCAAGGTAACAGTGATTTACAGCCCTTTATGATTTCTGGGGATAGGTTCCCCCTTATCAGATATATGTTACACCCTGTCCTACCATCCTTTACCATATACCATTATGCCCCTTGCTCCGTGTTTCCACTCCCACCTTCCCTTCCCCTTTATTAACCCCATTTCTGCTTAATCTGAAGTTTTATTTAAATATAGGCTGTGTCATTTGTTCCCTATGAAACATTGGCAAAAAAAGAAATTAATGTATATGATTATAATTTATATATGCAATATATATAATCATGAAATACACATAATATGATTACAACATCAATTTAAAGAACTATTAGAATTAAAAACAAGTCTTCTAATTCTCCTGGCATACAGACAGCTATCAATAAATGAATTCCATTGTTTTAAATTCAAAGATACTTTATATGAACTTTTCTTATTTCCTTCTCACATGAGTTCCATAAGGTAGAGAGCAGTATTTTATCCTTTTACAAGGTTAGGAAACCAAGACTTAAGTTGTCTAAGTAACCCAACTAGGGAGTAAGAAAGCTTAGATTTGACCATGGACAGTGTACTTACAAAATAACTCTTACCTACAGCATGAAGAATTTATATTCTCAGTTCTGTGACTTTTCTATCACTAATTTTACATGGTCAAATGAGAATACTAAACCCTGTTTTTAGGCTATGTAAACCTTACATATTCTTCAAGATGAACAAGATACTAGCATTTGCATATAGGTTTTTAAATAATTTTGCCACATTGTAGAAATTGTGGCTTCTCCTATGTCCCCATAAGTAGTTACATACAGCAACTTTTATCTTCCACTTAAGGTGTGCTAGTTATATTATACCTAATTGACTATATAGCTTATATCATGTACTTTCTAAAGTCCAAAGAGTTTATTTTTTTCTA